TGGCATTCTTCTCCTTCTCCTGCCCAGGGAGAAATGGCAAAGCTCTCCTCTCCCACTCAAACCAGCCTGGCTGGGGAGGAGGGCTCTCAAAGCCCCTTAGAAGCCTACCTCCTCCATCCTTCCTTCCACAGGCACTGTGCCTGGGGGCCAGGGGCTGGGCATGGCCCCCCAACCTGCCTCACCAAACACAGGTCTGAGAAAAGTGGCAAACAGGACGTACAGGTGAGGAGAACCACCTCCACCTCAATCCACAGGGGCTGGGGAAGATGTGACCCTCATGGCAGCACTGCCCTTCTGCTCTGCCGAGTCTCTTGCTGTAACCTACAGACCCAGTGCCTGTGGGTTTTGATTGTACCTGCAATTCTTCCTCCTTCCCTTCCCATTTTATCTTTGTGCTCCCCCCAATACCACTTCTCCCCAAACGCTCTAAAAATAAAGTACCTCTCCCCCACTAGTGGGTGTGAAAGAGAAACCCGCCCATTTTTGCACGGGGGATACCACTCCTGCTCCCCTCCAGCCCCCCCTCCACCCTCGCACACCTTCATGCTGACTCCAACACCATCCCCCTCCCTGAGCCACCAGGCCCTCTGGCACAATTTGGATGCTCCCACATCTACTCCAGCCTTTAGCAACACTGTCTCTTCTAGGAAGGTCCCCAGTCCCTCTCACCCCTTTCTTTCTGCCTCCACCATCCTCTTCCCTGCTCTGCTGGTGCTATTGCCTCTCTCCTGCCCACCAGCCAGACTCTGCCCTCTGCACCAAGGCAGGAAGGAGAGGAGGGAAAGGGGGACCTTCCTGTCGCAACATGGTGACGGATTTTGGAAGAATTTGGTTCTGGTGGGTAGTTTTAGGGGGAGAAGAAGGAAGAGGTGATGGGGAAACCTTTTTTTCTTTTTTTTTTTTCCTTTTTTAAAAATGATAAATAAAAACAGATGACCCAGAAGGCTGGAGCATAGCTGAGAGCCACCTCTTGTGCCACTACACACGTGTCTGCTTTGTGCCTCGGCTTTCTGCCGGCAGTGGGGAAGGGGCCAGAAAGGAAGGGGGAAGGGAAAGGGGCATCGGTGGCTCAGTAGTTCTGCGTTTGGTACCCCTGTGTCTCAGTGTCAAAACCATCTGCTGGAGGGGGCTGCTGGTACGTCCCCACCACGTCTGTAGCATCCTCCTCGT